CCAAATTAATAATACACTCAATCTGAATATACATTTTTCTCCAAAGAAGATGTACAAATGATGAATAAGCACATGAAAAAATGCTTGGACATGTTAGCCATCAGGAAAATGCAAATCAAAATCACCATGAGAATGTTTACCAGAGAGATAACAAAAGACCGATAATAAAAGACACAGAATAACAAGTGTTGGTGAGAATGCGCAAAAATTGGAATCCTCATACACTGCCCATGGGAATGTAAAATGATGTAGTCATTTTGGAAAGTAGCAATTCCTTAAAAGGTTGAACACAGAGTTTCTGTATGACTCAGCAATTCCACTCCTACAGAACCGAAAACACAATTTTATACAAAACTTGTACATGAATGATCATCGCAGCATTGCGCATCGTAGCTAAAAGGTGGCAACAATCCAAACGTCTACCACTGATGAATGGATAAACAAGATGTGGATGTGGTGTATCCGTTCAATGGTATATATTCAGCCATAAGAAGGAACGTAGTACTGATGAACCTTGAAACATTTAAGTGAAAGAAGTGACCACATATTTTAAGATTCCATTTATATGAAATGTCCAGACACATCTATTGAGACAGAAAGTATATTAGTAATTGTCAAGGGCTGAAGAATGTAGGGGGATTGGAGATGATGCTAAATGGTACAGGGTTTCTTTTGGGGGCGATGAAAATGCTCTAAACTTAATTGTGGCGATGGTTGCACAACTCTACGAATAAACTAAAAATCATCAGATCATATACCGCAAATGGGTGAGGTAAAAATAGTTAAAATATATTAAAAATAGAAAATAGATAAATATGAAAAAATAGATAAAAATAGGTAAAAAAGACATATTGATCTCTGCTCCTGGTTGCTGGCACAGGAATCTAAAACCCTTATAATTTCCTAAGTGATAAAGATCACTAGGAGCATCTTTTGTTCTAATATTTGGTCTTTCATCCTGGTTCCTGACACTGAGTTACTAATGAGGTGACTCTGGGTGGGCTCCTGGATGGGGGCTGGTCACCAGAAAGACCAAGCCCTGATCAGAAGCTTGGTATTTTCGGCTCCACTGCCCATTCTCCAGAGAAAGGAGGGGCTGGTGGTGGAATTAACAACTGATCATGCCTACGTGATAAAGCCTCCATAAAAATCTCAATAGTTTGGGGATCAGAGAGCTTCTGGGTTGGTGAACACAGCTACATGCCGGGAGGGTGGCGCATGCCAACTCCACGGGGACAGCATCTCCTGCTCTTGGAACCTCACCAGACCTCGCCCAGTGTATCTCTTTATCTGGTTGTTCATCTGTATCCTTTATGTCCTATATTTTATAATAAACCGATAAATGTGTTTTCCTGAGTCCTGTGAGCTCTTCTAGCAAATAATCAAATCCAAGGGTGTGGGGATCACGAGAACCTCCAATTTGTAGCCAAGTCAGACAGAAGTTGTGGGAACTTGGGGACCTACCACTTATCACTGGCCTCTGAGCCAGGGGCAGTCTCATGAGACTGAGCCCTTACCTGCAGGGTCTGTGCTAACTTTGGTTATTGTCAGAATGGAACTGAACTGTAGGACATCCTGCTGGTGTTATAGAGAATTTCTGGGTGTGGGGGAAAACTCCACACGTCTGATTACAGGAGAAACACACAGGAACAGAAGTGTGATTTTTTCGTTCTTAGGTGAATTGTAGTGTATGTGAATTATATGTCAATAAAGCTCTTACAAACATAATTGTTATAACTGTTTATACTTAGAGATGTGAAGATAGATGAGAGAGAACAAAAAATTAAGAAATTAAAATTCAGGTAAGTATGAACTTTTATGCAACTGGTTCTTTTACTGATTATATATCCACATCTCTGAACTTTCTTCCTATACCAAATTTGATTTTCATTTCAGTAGACAAGTAACTTTTAATTTACCTCCCGTTACTGCCGCTGTCTGCCCACCAGTAGTGTTGGGGTAGGAGTGTTACTTCTAAATATGGCAATGTTTGTGTAGTTACTTGAGCATTTTATTGCATATTTGCCCTTATTTATAAAAGCAGAGTAGAAAATGGAAAAATACAGCGCTGATGTTAATGATTTTATGGTTGAAACGAAGGAAGATATCATTTGGTCTGCCAAAACCAGTAAATCTGATGCTTACTGAATTTAAGCAAGTCTGACAACTGTGTTCAATTATAAAGGAAAATGACAAAATTTAAAACACACATACAAAATGCTGTAAAGACGTGGCTGAAGTTTGTGGCTGAGAGGTAAGGTGTCGCAGGGGCGCCAGTGTGTGGATCTTTACAATCAGGTGTAGTAGAATCTTATTTTGATATACTGATTTTTTTTTCCTGGTAATTTATTTTTTAACCCAGTGATGCTTGCCCCTCTTGGCAGCCACTCCTCAGGTGGGTTCTTTGCAGCATAGTGCAAATACCAAAAAAAAGGTCAATCCCTGGCCTTGGAGGTTTAAAGTATGTTTTGGAAACACAAAACAGAGATTAAAAAGCTTTTAAACTTTAAAAACTAGAACCATGACCCTGGCCAGGTAGCTCAAGTTGGTTAGAGCATCATTTGGATACACCAAGGTGGTGGGTTTGACCCAGTCAGGGCACATACAAGAATCAACCAATGATGCATAAATAAGTAGAACAACAAGTCCATGTCTCTCTCTCTCTCTCTCCCTCCCTCCCTCCCTCTAAAATAAATTTTTTTAAAAGTTGATCTTGTTAGAATGAAGACACTTTTTCAGCAGGTCTGGGGTAGACACCCAGATTCTACATTTCTCAAAAGCTCTCAGGTGATGACAACACCGCTGGTCCAAGGAAAACAAGTGTGCACCTGTCCATTCATTCACTTATGAACAGATGTTTATCAGACCCCGACAATGTGCCAGGCACTGTTCTGGACGTTGAGGATACAACAGTGAATGGGACAGGTAACAATTTGCCCCTCCTTAGATCGAAAGCCTTCTGTAGTTTTACAGAAAGATTTATGTAGTTGAGGTGGGTAGAAAATGATGATCCATTAATTAAAGTTGCACTGTAGCATCATCTCATATGCACATTTAACTTCTGTATTTGCTTTTGACTTTCATGTCTTTAAAATGCTTTCCTTTTTTGGGTGGTTTTTAATTCTTTCTTCAGGAGTGTATGTGTTTGTGTGTGCACCAACTCTTGGGCAATACGTTACAGGGTTTACACTTAGGTAAGATCACTCTTAGCAAATACCACTATGCTGTGCATTATTTAGTTTTAAAGTTCAAGGTAACCGTGACCTCCAACTTCAGGCAACAGGCAACTAGCCGATCTCAGAGTTAGCTTTGCTGCTTGGGGCAGAGCCACGCAGCTTAGGTGTGTGATTCAGAACACACCCACAGAGGGAGCTCAGCACAGGCGAGGGCCGTTTTACAATTTCTACCCAAAGAAACGGTCCTCCTCAATCATGTAGAAACACGCTCTGACCGGCGCTTTATTTCGGGCTAATTCTCACGGATGATGGTCTAACCAGCTGCCCAATTGCCCAGTGACAGGGACAGAGCTCTGCATTTCCTAAATCTCATTTCATTTTCCTTTCGCTAAGGAAAAAAGAAGACTCTGCTTCCCAGCCTCCTTTGCTGGCTGCTGAAGGCATAAGACTGCGGGAGTGAATTAGGTTAGTTTTTACCAAGTCTCTTTACCATATGTCCCCGTCTGGCCCTCACTCGCGGGCATGTTCTAAAAACTCGGTTTATACGTTAAAGGCCTATGGAGCTCAGGAGGCACTGAGTAAACACTGGCTGAGGAAGGAAGACAAGAGGGAGGAAGTTTCACACTCAGCATCCTGGAGGGGATTGCTTGAATTATTTGATCTTAGAATAAAGTATCGAAATCAAACATGACATTAGAAAAGTTTTAGAAAAATTTGGAGAAAAACACAAAAACATTTCCCCATGGTGTTAGCACTCTACTACAACGACTATTTACATTTGTGGGCGTTTTTCCCTGTTTTTTGGCCACTCATTTTTGTTACATCGTTGCAGTCACACTCAAGATGTCCTGGCAGCGGTTTTCCGTGTGGCCGCGTGGTCCCTCCTCACAAGCGTAACTTTCAGGGGCTCCATCATGGTCCATCTGGGGGCTGAACCACTGAGTTATTTTCCAGCTTTGAATAGTTACATTTCTAATTTTTTTGTTTTCAAAAATGATTCTGCGATAAACCTGTTTTTGTAGTAAGATTTTCTATATTTAGAAAAATTTCTTGAGGCCTGAAAAAAGCCTTTTTAATGATCCGAAACCCTAGGGTGACGCTGACTCATTTCAGATTGGGACTTTGCATTAACTTAAGAGCGTGGCTTTGTGTCCATGTTCAGCACTGAGTTAGGTGAAGGTCAGTTTCTTCAGTTGTGTGATTCTCTAAAACACACATACTCACCATATTTCATGTACGTTTAAAGATGTTCAGGCCAAATATAGTTTTTTTCAAATCAGGCTCCTAAGCACAGTGTCTTATATAATGCTGTGAGTGCCCCAATCTCTCTCTCTCTCTCTCTCTCTCTCTCTCACACACAAACACACACACCCTTGAGAATTATGAGACATGCTCGTACATCTGGCTAGAAAACACCTGTATGCATAAGGAAAGGTCTCTCTTGATCTTGAGGTTTTATTAGATGTATCAGCTCAGCAGAATATGCAGCAATAAGAAATAAGGACAGGTTCATCCCTGTCACCTCTCTTCAGAAAAGGAATTAAAAACGGAGTCGCTTGTAGCCCACCCCCGCGTCACTCAGCCAGCGCAAAATAGAAAGGACTGTGCTGGGCCTGGTCTAATGTTTCTGGAAAGTTAGGATGAGCTGCCGATGAAAGACTGCGCTTGTGGCCGTGGTGTAGTCGAAAGCCGCCTGGTTTTGGTGTGGAAGCCTTGATGTCGAGCACCTATTCTCTCGCCAAGTGTACAGCTTCAGGTACTTAATTTATTCTCACCGAGGCAAGTAGCCTTCATTCGTAAAGCGCGACCATCAGCCTGCGGGGCTCAGCAGGGGCAGGTGCGGGCCCGGAGCTGCCTCTGCAGGGCGCCCTTCACCTCCTTGGTTCGGAGGCTGCAGATGAAGGGGTTGAGCATGGGGATGATGATGGTGTAGGAGACGGACACTACTTGGCCACTGATGTCACTAGCGAATCCACGAGGATGAACGTACGTGAAAACCACGGTGCCATAGAAAATGGCAATGGCCAGGAAGTGGGAGGCACACGTGGAGAGGGCCTTGTCCCTCCCAGCTGCCGAGCGCATCTTCCCGATGGCCACCAAGACCCAGCCGTAGGAGGCGACGATGACTGCAGCGGGCACGAGCGTAACTAGAGCAGAGACGACGCGTTGGACCACTCTCACGGTGGCCGTGTTGGCACACGCCAGGCGGAGAGGGGGTGGGATGTCACAGAAAAAGTGTGCCACCTGGTTGGGCCCACAGAAAGGCAGGACAAAGACATCCCCAGCCTGGAGAGCGGAGTTCGCTCCACCCAGTGCATAAGAAGCAGCCACCAGGCGGAGACAGGTCCCCTTGGTCATGACAGCGCTGTAATGGAGGGGTCGGCGGATGGCCGTGAAGCGGCCGTAGGCCATGGAGGCTAGCAGGAAGCTCTCGGCTGTGACATGGGCCACGAAGAAGGTCAGCTGGGCCACGCAGCCCTCAAAAGAGATGGACTTATCGGAGGCCAGAAAGTTGACCAACAGCTTGGGCGTGACCACAGAGGAGTAACAAATATCGAGAAAAGAGAGGACACTGAGGAAGAAATACATGGGGCTGTGGAGACGAGGGTCTGTGAGGATGAGCGCCAGCATGCCCAGGTTGCCCACCACCGTCATGGCGTAGATGAGCAGGAAGGCCCCGAAAAGCAGCTCCTGGAGGTCTGGGTAACTAGAGAAGCCCAGCAGGATGAACCGGGTCACCGGGGTGTGGTTGCCACTGGCAAGGGCTAGTTCTCCAGGTGTCATCTGCAGAGGTGACAATTAATAATCACCCAAACAGCATTACTCGAATAGGCCCACATCATGCAAGCCGGAGTGAGGGCGGACACCAGGCCGGTATAAGGCTTCTACAGGGAGCCAGCGGGAAGCATCGAGCCACAGCGGGAGAGCAGGGGCCGGGAGGCCAGGCAGGCCTGTCTTCGTTCTGACTATGGCACTAGCTGGTTGTGTATCCGTGGATGAGCTATCATCTATGAGCCTTAGTTTTCTCATCAGTGAAATGAAGAAAACATGCCTACTTCTCGGTTGCTCTGTGTCCTAAATGAAAAAAATGAATGTAAAATATTTGACTCTCTGGGACACAGTAGGTGATCAATAAATGTAAGGCTTCTTCCCCAATATCTTGGGCCTGTATCGATAAATAGCTTATGACCCTATGTGACAATTCATTCTGTCTTTTTAAAAATCAAGATATGATTCACTTACCATAAAATTCATCATTTAAAAATGTACAGCTAAGGGGTTGTTAGTATATTCACAAGGCAGGCAACCATCCCCACTATTTAATTGCACTCCCCATTCTCCACTTCCCCAGCCCTGGCAACCATTCATCTACTTTCTGTTTCTATGGATTTGCTTATTCTGGACATTTCATACAAATAGATTCCCACAATATGTGGCCTTCTGCGTCTAGTTTCTTTCACTCAATGTTTTCGAGGCTCATCCATATTATAGCATGCAGCGGTATTCATTCTGTCTTATATTTAAACATCCTTCAGGGCATCCCCTCCTCTACATCATAACCACTTTGTCTTCCGAGAATCTACTGAGTTGACTGTCACGTGGGACACCATCATCTTGGAAATGGTGGTTTAGTGCTTGCTGGACTGTCCTCCAAGATGTGTTTATCCACAGGAGGACTGCAAATGCCCCTCCTCCCCACACTTCCCTCTCTCTTCTACCCTTCATCTCCCTCCTCTTTGAGGGTCTGGGCTCCATCCTGAAAACCAGTCCTAAGGAAACCTCCCCAACCTCTTCATCCATGTCAGACGGTTTGTGTAGAGGACAAGCGGGAAATGCGGTGTCATTTTGCAGAACACGGAACAGCCTTGTTTCCGCCTGTTGTCACAGGTACGGGGTATGACAGGAAGAGCACTGGGCTCACAGTTCTAGCTCCGTTGCCTAAAATTAGCTTTGCTACCTTGGGCAATTCTCCTCTCTCTGGGCTCCTGCTTCCTCGTTGGCAAAGCCAAGGTTTGGTATGGAAGACATCTGCGGTCACCTCTGGTCCTAACAATCTGGTCCTGACTGTGGCGCCTTCCCTGAACTGCTTGCCTGGGTGTGGGTCTTTGTGGCGGTGTAGCCCCAGGCAGCACTAAAAGAATCCATGTGTATTTGTCCAGTAAAAGGGGACTCTATACCTGATTGTGACAGACAAGTTTAGGAGACTCTGTCCAGCTCACAAGGACCTAGGTGAGTACCTTGGCCACTCAAATATTTTGCCCATAAAGTAGGAAGTTCTGAGAAACATTGTTAACATAAATGAATAGGTGGGAATATAAGGAGGTTTTTTTTTAATGATAATGCCATTCAATTCGTTGAATTCCTTGCTCGTTAATGCCAGTAGTCCCGTAGTGATGTATCATCAAAAATTATTTTTAATGCTCTATCATTGGTCAATTTGAAAAGATCCTCCCTCCCTCTTGTTGAAAGATTCCCATCTGACTTAAAAAGGATTTTATAGGCAGTCATTAAAGTCAATTATTTTTTCAACACCTGTTTATGAAATTATCTCTGTGTGGGAGCCTGGCAGTTTAGAGGCTGGTGAAATGATGTGCTGAGATTCAGGATGGGTTAGAAGCATGCGTTTCTTTTTCTTCTTTCTTTTTTTTTTTAAATCCTTACCTGAGGATATTTTTTCCATTACTTTTCACAAAGAGAAGAAGGGAGAGAGAGAGAAAAACATGGATGTGAGAGAGACACGTTGACTGGTTGCCTCCTGAAAGTGCCCCGACCGGGGCCAGGGATCGAGCCTGCAACCCGGTTATGTGCCCTTGACTGGAATCGAACCCTGGACCCTTCAGTCTGAGGGCCGATGCTCTAGCCACTGAGCAAACCCGGCCGGGGCTAGAAGCATGCCTTTCTTTTCAAAATGGGAGAGGGGCGGCTGTGAAAGGGAAGATGACAGGGCACGCAGAAGCCGCATCGCAGGTGCACGGTCAAGAACATTGTCTTTTCTCAGTAGACACTGAGGTTCTGGAAATTGCTTCCTTTAAAACTGTTTTGCCTTTGAACCCCTTGAAAAGCCTTCACTTACCCTCAGGGGTACCCAGCCCCAGTGTGGAGACTGTGGCCTTGGAGGAACTGGTTTCGGGAGGCCACCTCTGCCCGCTGCCTCTCCTGCCTCCCAGAGCCGGGCTCGAGGGGGTGTGACGGGGACGCCCCATCCCCCTTCGCAGGCCGGCCTCGTGCCTCCTGCCAAGGTTGGCATGTGCAGCCCACACGTGGGCCCTGTGGCGCGGCAGGATCCTGGCACACGATTCAGTCCTGAGGCCGAAGCCGGAAACTCACTTCCTGCCCGTACCCCAGTTTCTCGCCCAGCTGCCCCAGGTAGCTTTTGCGTTTACACTTTCTTTTCTAACTTTCTTAGGGCTTGGTTCTGGCCCACGAGTCTCTGATCTACAATGAGTATCAAAGTTTTCCTTTTTCCCTGGTAGGATGACAGCTCGCTTCCACATACACACACACACACACTCACACACACACACACACACACACACACACACACACAGTCACTCACACACACACACACATACACACACACACTCACACAC